ATTCCTGCTCCATGGACACTTTTTTGGAGCTCCGCACAAGGAAACCTTCAGCTCGTCTGAGCGAAAATGTGCCATAGCAACAGCCTGAATCCAAAAAAGTGTCATAAGGAAGATTTTGAGCAGCATTAGAGCTGGGCGCGCTCTGAGCCCAGGGACCAAACGGGGGAGATTTTTAATCTCGCCTTGGCAGGCAGAAGCCAAAAACCTGATAATTTTTTAAAAAGATGAAGCTGTGTGGCGAATGTAGGGGAATGCTGTTCTTTTGCAGGAACCCATCAACAACACGTCCGAAGTCCATCGAGCTTTAAAATGGCTCTGAACAATCCTGCTCAGGCCCGTGACCCAGCCTATCTGCTTCCATTCCCCCGAGGCTGGAAGAGATTTAAAGAATCACTTTAAAATGAAAAGTCGGCTGCCAAGAGGAGCCCCAAGAGGGATGTATGAACCAAATACCCGGAGATGCCTCGTAAGGATAAGGAAAGTCCGATGTCTGAACAATCGATTGCCCGGAGAAGGCAGCGCAGGCAGAAACCAGGGCCAGGGCAGGCAGAGCTGCGCCACAGGCAACGGCGTGGGAGGGAACTGCCCCGATTATCACCCCCGCTGACATGCAGGGGCTCTTCCACAGGGATGGCACAGCCTCGAGTGAAGAAAAGGTCCCGTCCCAGCTCCTCCGAGCACCTGCAAGGCCCCCACGCCTCTGGGTGGCAAAGGACGGGGCAGACAAAGCCTGATGCGTTGTTTTTTGGCAAGGACACAATTCTCCTGGCACAAAGGGCCTTTCCCTGGGCAGGGAGAGGCATCGTGATCGCAATATGATGCCGAGGGATGGAACATCCGTCTGGATGCCCCCGAATCCTTCCAAGAAACAGCCTGGGTTTGTTTTAGAGACCCACTGGGAGAGATGCGTCTCCTGGTCCCCCTGCTGTCCCCATGGCAGCCGTTTGCTCCCTCACCCCTCCGGTCCGGGTTGCTGCTGCCAATTACACTCTTTTGGCATGATCAGGAGCTGTGTAGGCTGGAGCCGGCGAACAAACCCAAGCGTGCTCATTTCAGCCGCCCTGGAAGCAGAGGAGAATGGGAGGTGGGGGAGTGCGGACTTCCCAAATGGAAAAATACAGAATCAGCCATGGGGAGGGCAGCACTCGGGAAAGACAGGAGAGTTCAGACCTCTGGGTCCAACTAATGCCAGCCGTGGGCACGCTCCTCTCAAGTCCCTTGCCGGGAGGGAAGAGAAGTGGTGAAGGAAAAACAAGGTGATCGCTCGTGGCCACGAGCAGAGAAGGGAAGTTCCTGCCTGAGCCACGGAGGGAGGTGAGACCTCCCTGCCCACGCAGGCAGCCAGGGAGAGGGTCCGGCCGCTCAGCCTTCCTTTCCACCAGAGCAGGTCAAGTCTCACCCAGGCTGTGCCTGCTCCGGTTCCCAAGTGCCATTCCAGTGCCCAAGAGGAGCCATTCCAGCAGCTCCTGCTTGCAAGCGAGAGGCAGGAGACACTCTGAGACAGAGCGAGCAACTGGGGAAGGAGCGTCCATCCCCAGCCAGGCTCAGAAACCCACGTGCGAGTTTGCAGTCAGTGGAAGAGGAGAGAAAAAGCGCAGAAAGTGCCACGCGGTGCCAGGGAACCCCACTGCGGCTGGAGCAACAGGACACTGCAGTCACGACGGGAACGCGGCCAGGCTGGGACCGTCGGTCCCCACCAGCCACACACCCACCACCAGCGAAAAAGGCACAACCGCATCCTGCTCCTTGCGTACGAAGCACAAGGAACCTTCCTGCTCCAAACACAGCTTCTCGGGAAAGCTGGGCACCCCAAGGGAAAGGCTGAAAGGCACACCATGAACACCACTTTACCTGTTTGCCTTTTACGATGTGCTTGGGCACAGGCACTTTAATCTCCAGGTCGCTGTAGTCTTGGGACCAGGCATAATTCTCTCGCACAGCTCCATTGTAGCTGTCGGGGTTTGTCTGGAACTGCTCCTGTCTCCTGTGGGGGGAAGAAAGAGGCGACGTGCTAAGTGTCGGACAGATCAGAGCCTGGAGAGAGCAGGAAACCTGAGAGCAGGGTACAAGAAGCAGAAAGGGAAGGCAGAGCCTCTGCTGGGCCTTCCTGCGAGCATCCCTAACGCTTCAGGCTGATGCCCAGTCTCTCCCTCGCTGCTGGCCCTATCTAGGAAGGGAGAAGGGTCAGGTCGGCAGCCCCGACACAAAGACACCCCAGCCACCCTGCCCGCTGCAGGAGACTTGCGCGCCCCTCTCCCCACTGTGTCGCAACGGAACAGGCTGCGAACAGGACAACTGCGACCTCGGTTCACCACGAAAAACCAGAGCTGGTTCTTCTCCTCCCAATTTTAGCGTGCTTGGGAAAACCATCAGCTGTTGTAACCCAGGCAGCTGCTGACACAGAGGTGACGGAGCCGGGGAGCGGGATGCCTGAAGAGCCAGCCCGGCGTGGCACTGGAAGGGGGCAAGTGGATCACGAGCAACACTTTGAGGAAAACACAGCCACTTCCAGCTGCAGAAATCTCAGGAGAAGGATGAGGAGGCGGTTGTGAGGGCAGGATGGGATTTATCAGATCGATACGCAATAATCAATACCGTGTTTCTAGCCAAGAAAGATCTCCATCACACCCATGTCCTTTCAAACTGCTGGCGGGCTGAGGATCTATTCCATTGAAACCTCCCGGAGAGGGCTTTCGAATAAAATAAAATCTTTTCTAAAGATAGCTGCGGTGCTAACAAAAGGCAGAGTTATTTTAAAATGTTTTGATACGCACCTAGTCCTCAATCTGGAGCTGTATAAACATGGGGCTGCAGCGGCTTACGTAAGGGGGGGCCGGTGACGAGCGGCCCCGGGGGGCAGCCGGCCCCAGGGACCGCGTCTCCCTGCGCCCCGCTGTCTTCCCGACACCCCCACACCCAGGGGCCCGCGCCAGCACCGGGCGGGGGTGGCTTCCAGCAGCACGGCACCCTGAGGATTATGTAAGATCCATCGATTTTAATTAAATTAGGCTCTAAGACGGTTGGAGGGTGCTGTCGAAGGGGCTGGGTGTACAGACACACACCCTTTTTTTTTTTCCTTGGTGGTTTCACAGGGTTTTACCTGCCCTGTTACACCCACCCCTGCCCCGGGGTGGATTTCATCCAGCTCTCTGGGCAGCGCGGGCAGCACTGGGGAGGCAGCGGCCGCAGGCTCCCAGCCTCAGGCCGGCAATTTCGGGGTCACCGCATCACTTTTTTCAGGCATCTTGGCCTTGCCTGGCGGTCACCCATTGGGTGCCCATTGTCATGGAAACGGGGTTGGCATGGCAGCGCCGAACCGGCGCTGGCGCGGGTTGGCTCCAGCTGTCGGTTTCCCAACCGCCCCCGGATTGTAGGAGTCGAACAGGCTGGAGGGCGAGAGGGGGAACGGTGCAGGCGACCGGGGTCTGAGGGGCCCCGCTCTCACCCCACGGGGAAGTAAAGGCGTTGAAAGGAGGTGGCACGTCCCCAAGCATCGTCTCACGTGTCCCCAGGTCCTCACCTAGAGCCAGCGCAGCGGCGGCACCTGGCCCCGCTCTCGGGGCACGATCGTCCCAGAGACCACCCTGTGCAAGCCCCCGCAGAGGGGAGGGATGTTTCTCTCCCGGGTGAGGATCCGTGTGCTGCCCGGGGCAGCTCGGCTGGTTAAGTGCCCTCGCAGGACGCGTCCCCACGTGGCGGGGTCTGCCCGGGCATGGCGCAGCCCTGCGAGGCTCCCGCCCTCCGCCCCGACTCCCTCGGGCTGGAGCAAGCGTGTACGTGGCCGCACAGTGAACCAAAGGACAAACCTGACTGGGGTTTAAAACCAGCTGAGTTTTTTCCTCCTAAGAGAGTCTTTCCTTCTAATCAGCACAGACCTGAGCTGCGAGGCAGAGCTCACCATGCTCCTTCCAAACCTGCCAGCAAGACACCAGAGGGAAGGCACATCGGCTGGGAGTCACCATCCCAAGCGTCGCCAGCTCCCTGAGAGCGAGCAAAGAACCAGACAAGAACCAGCAAATGGGTATTTACTTCCAGGCTGTTTCCCCCCCCCGGGCCTTTCCCAGGAAAAGCTCGAAGGCTAAAGGGGGAGGCAGCGAGCCCGTGCTCGGGCCAAGGCTTGTTAGAGCAGATGCAGAGCATCAAAGGTGGGAAAAAACCCATCAGCGCAAAGGCAAGAGTGGGTAAGACGCCAGCTGCAAATGCCTCACGGCCACAGCACGGATAAATACAATGCCGGCGCAGCCGCTCGCCGCCACAAAGCCACCAGGTCCCTCCTTGTTGTGTCTCTTCCTCGGAAGGAAAGTGCTGGGGCTGAGCAGACCCTGGCCAGGCGCATCCTGGATGTTTTAGCCCCCCAAGAGCTCTCTGAGCATGATTTCATTGTCCCGGGAGGACACGAGTGGCTTCACGGCAGCCCCAGGAGATGTCAGTGTTAATTGGGTTACTGCCACAGGGAAACTGAGGCAGGACTCGCTCTGCAATGACTCTGTCGAACTTCTCTTTGCTTGGCATCGCTACTGAACAAGTGAAACCAGTCTTCCTCCAAGCCTCGACAGTCCCCCGCGGGACGGCTCTGTCCTCGCTCCCGCCGTGCCGTAACTAGAGCAGTGCGCTGGGTGATGGAGGGACGTTTCACGGCCGTCTCTGCCTCCACGTGCAGCTTGCTGGGACGAGCTCTGTCCACGCTGCCTCATCCTCACAGCCCTCCCAGCCTGGCCGGGCGACATATGCCCCAGCCAAACCATCCCCGTGCTCAGCCAGCTTCATCGGGGAGAATTTTCCCTTGTGCCTAAACCTCCTTCCAGCCGTGGCTGCTTGTCCCGCGGGCACGGGGATCGGCACCAGTGCTTCTCTGCTCCTCTCCTCCCTAACAGCCAGCCCGAACCCCTCCAGCCCTTCCTGCAAGTCACCACCACCGATCTCTGCTCCAGCTCTGCTCCTGACGTTCAAAATCCTCGGATGTGAAACTAATGGCTTTGTGCCCCCAAACTGGATCACAGGGGGAACTCACAAAGGCCTCGGCAAATTCCCCTGCAAGTTTAACTGCCTACTCTTAAGCAAATAAGGATTCGGGGTGACGAAGGCAGGCCTCAGCCTCGTTAGGCGCCTCTGACAAACGGCTGACAGCTCTACCATCTCCTGGAGCAACTCTTCCTTTCCTGGAGGTTTTCCAGGCAGATCCTTGCCTGGTCCAACTGTGCTTAGCACACGCCACCCTTCACGCCGGCGGCACTCAAGAAATTGGACCCAGCTCCCTGGTTGGGAGGCAGCTTCCCTTGCCATCCGAAGGAGACGGCCCCAGCTCACAGCGAGCCATGCCGCCACGCTGGAGGTGGCTCTCCCAGCCAAACCTGTCCCTCGCATCGCTTCAACAGCACCACCGTGCAGCGGGCGAGAGAATTTCCTGCATGAACACCATCACCAGGAGATATCCCCATCCTCAGACCCACCAGGCGAAGACCAAAGCCGGATCCAGAGCGCGGCGTGGGTTGGATGGCGATCCTCCCGGCAGCCTGGCGATAGCACAGCGGCTCCCGGTGCGATGGTCAGCTCACCAGGACACCGAACCGCCTGCTGGGGCAGGGCAGGTGGTGGCAGGGCTGAGGAGAGGGAGGGTGAAAAAGCATCAGCTTTTAAAACCAAGGGTTTGGCACCGCGTGCACTTGGCTGCCGGGTGGTGGGGATGGTGTGGGTGGGTCTGTGTGTTCTGTCTTGTTCTATTTTTGCTCGCAATGTGTCATTTTGGGGGAGGTGAAACCTTTAACAATGCACCGTCAAGAAGCAGCCGATCTGTTTTCCACTCCTAGGAGCCGCACTGCATGGCTGCGCCGTCACCGGTACCAGAGCCGTTCCCCTCATGCGGGCTCAGACCCCCGACGGCAGCGAGAGGGGGCCAGGACCCGAGGAGAGGTGGTGGTGTCACCAGGAGGTGCCGCTCGAGCGAGGCTGGCCGAGGCAGAGCTGGCCTCGGCGTGCAGGCTGGACACCGGAGGGTCGAGCCGCACGCTGGGCCCCACATACAGATTTCTGGGCATTTCTTATTCCGGGATTTCCAGCTCCGTGGGTTGGTGATGCACGATGAGCCAAGCGATGCAGAAACGGCGACAGAGCAATCCTCTCCTCTGCGGACACTTGGCTGAACACGTTTCCGTCCTCAGAGCGCAACAGCTCCAGCACCAGCTCTGTCAAAGCAGTGCCGGGCACAAACCAAGAGCAGGAACCAAGCGCCGAAGGATTTGGTTTAATATTTTATACGAGGAGAAGTAGGGCAGCTCACCGAGTTCCTCTTTACTGAGGATTTTTGGTGCAAGAACGCAAAAGTTGAGGAATAGATACAGCAGCACGGAAGCAGCTGTCCATCAGCCCGACGCGGCAGGCTGAGGGGGTGCGGGGGGCGCAAGCATCATGGGAAGGAGTTAATATGGACCTAATCCCAATGGACTTTTTTTTCCTCCATAAAAAGAAGAAAAGAACAAAATCCCAAGGATTTTCAGAACTACTAAAGGAAACCGATCCTCTCAGCCTGGAGCATCCCAGCTTTCTGATGCAGGATCCCTGCCCTCTCGGGAAGCAGGCTGATGGAAGTCCGGGATACCTGGGTTTTGCAGAGTCAGGCTTCCTCGACGGCTCAGCATCCACCGCTGCCTGCACCGGTGACCTGCCTCAGCCAGCGCTGGTTCTTTGGCTGAGCAGACCACTGAGCTCAGGGCGGGGGTCTGCCCCACCAGCGCTGCCGAGGGCCGGTACAGCGGGTACCCTCCATCCACTTGGCATTCACAGAAAGCCTCCTCCGGGGCCGGCACTGCTGTTTGCTCTTAGTCAAGGTGAATTATTTAGGCAGCTTTAAGGAAAACGTGTCAAGCCAGTTAAGCGATGCAGATGTGGAGGCAGGTGGAGAAAAGAAACAACCTCAGCAGCTGAAGCTGGGCAAGCGGGACTGGCCGAGGCCAAGGCCAAAGAGGAAGATGTGGGGAGAAAGCCGGG